TCTTGATGATCGTCGTGGAACGGCTGGGACTGCGACGCGTAATTCTAGTTTTGCTACGAGCAGTGCAGGCAAGCAACTTTATTGTGCCGCCGATCATCCAGGAGCTATATGGAGCGCGAGTTTCACACCTCGCGGTACCACCATCGCTGAAAATTGCGAATGCAGAAGTACTATACAGCAGGATTACGAGACGAAATGTCCAACGAGCCTGAATGTCTAACGAGACGGAAGATCCAATAATGGATATTCAGGCACGTTGGACATTCAGGCTCGTTGGACATTCCGTCTCGGTTGGATCTTTCGTCTCGATGGACATTCAGGCTCGTTGGACATTCCGTCTCGATTGGATCTTTCGTCTCGATGGACATTCAGGCTCGTTGTATATTCCGTCTCGGTTGGATCTTTCGTCTCGTTGGACATTCAGGCACGTTGGACATTCTGTCTCGCCTGTCAGGTGCTAGAATAATTTTCCTTCTTAAATGTAAAAACTTGTGTGCATATTTAGTCCGCGTTCCTCCAGGCATTGCTGTAGTTTCATCATACTAAAATGCCGTGCCACAAAAGCCGACGTTGACGGACCGACAAAGAAACAGAGCAGACACAAATATTATGATTTCATCTATAGGAAGGCTTGATGGTTAGTTAGCTGAGTGCCGATGCGCAGCTATGTACCAATCAGTTAAAGGTGTCGATTGTACGACGCCAAACGCTCCTTTGATATTAAGAGCTCAAATGTTTGGAATGTTCCGATGACATAGGTCAGCCAGTTTGAAATATATAATAGAAATGCAAAGTCCGGGTATTCTAGTGCATCGCAATTGGGGCACGTCTATGAAAGCCGCGCTTCAGATCCCAGGGATTTCTAGTTACGTCCTCATCCCTGCCCATTTCGATTTCTATAGATGCGCTACATACGGAGACCCGCATTGTAAACACTCGACCGCCCGCCAGCGCCACTGACTACGCGCAGAGTCAATATTTAATTTTTTTTTTAAAGGAGCTTTGGGAGCTGTGGGTGCGTGGCATCAAGAGTTTGCACAAGCTTAATTTCCCACTAATAAAAATATATAGATATCTTTTTTTTAAAATAAAATCTACATCTAACGCGTCCATAAATGCATGGGGAGGGTGTGACCCAACAATTGCATTCCCTGCAAATAGGTTTGTATGTCAGTGAGTAGAGCGATAATACTAGTATCACGCAGAACGTAACTTTTTTTTTTTGCATGTGACATGCATAGTGGTTTTCAGAAGCCCATGTAATTTAACTGGCTTCTGGAAGCACTCCAAAGCTCGCCATTCTGTCGAGGTAGTTCATGACGTCTTGGTAGGTGGGAGCTTGACTGCTGATAAAGGACGCGAACGCATCTGTCTCGGCGTGCAGTAGAAGGTTCACACCCGGATGTATTAATAGCCTGCATCATGTGTGAATATAACAATAGATAGTTCCACGTGGCTTTTTATTCTTGTAGAAGAAGCGTATTGCGTCACAAATCCAGTCACTTCGTCGAAATTCTATTGGTCTCTGGACAACTGGAAGAAGGACAATTCGTCGAATATGGTAATTCGCCCTCGGCCGATTCGCAGAATGAAGAATGGGGCGAAAGTGCCCGTTTGTCGAACTGTCGAAAATAATTAATTAGGGTTGGGGGTGTAGATTGCCGGTGACAGTGGGGGTCAACAATGAGACCTTCCTTCGAAAAAAGAGAGGATGACAAATGCAGCTCTCAGAATTGGCAAGGGTCCGATAGTGAATCGTACCCGGGTTATTCAAAATGATAAAAGTCGGGTTCTTCGTGAATATGTTCACTCGCAACTCTAGCATTATGGAATTTGGGAAGACCGAGTGAGGGGCTGACTTCCTGATACCGTGGCCATATGTGCACTTGTAATGTGCGCATATGAATAAATCACGGTCGCACTGTCGCAGCGGCTCTATGACAGAGTTAGAACCAGTTGAAATCCGACCGCAGCCTTGGTATGCTACCTGGGCGCGTATCGGTGCGATTGCTGGATGCCACGTGACCAAAAAAGGCAGAAACGACGGAAGCCAATCCTAAAAAGAATTGATTATTAATGCTGCCTGCTTGTTGCTTTGCTTAATACATGGTTCACTGCGACAGCAATCGCTTTTGTGGCCGAAGCATGCGAAACTAATCTTCGCGATACGCGTCAATGTGCTGAATCCTCCGCACAATCACCGGACAAAAGCTCACCACTTGAGGACATTACCTGCACAAAGTCTTAATGAAAGGAACGTTGTATTCTATCACTGATTTTGATATAAGGATCGAATTTTTGTTTCTGGGGACCGAGAAATCCAATCGGAAATGTCTAAAACTTTCACGTTCGTTTTGCAAAAGAGAAGAAAGCAAAAACTACAATTTAGTGTAATTACACATACTACACTGACTTCACAGAACAATATAGATAATACTAAAAATTCAATCAGGCGTTTTTCTCCCATGCGAGGGACATGACCTTTGCGGGACTAGGGACACGAATAAGAAAAACACAGCAACTCGTACAATACGGAAAAACTGTGACTGAGAATAAGCACGATTAACAATTCTAAGAGCTCTCGTGGGTCCCACATTTGTTTCCGCTACAGAGGAACGACCCTTCTAAAATCAAACGCGTGACAGATTGTCAATGGTCAACGAGTTCGGTCTTTTATCTTGTAGCATGTGTGACCTTTTAAACGTCATTTTTTTAACTATTGAAATCATCTTTATATTTAGGTATATAAAACGAACAATAAATACATTGTTTTGGGGTTTTTTATGACGTGTGAAAAATACACGAGCGTAATTTTAATTTAATTTTGGGGACTTCACAGAGGCAACGTCAGATACACAAGCTCAGCGGCACACCAAAACAGCCGTGCATCAAAAGTCCCGGTACTGAAAAGCCCGGTGCCGAAGCGAACACACACCGAAATGATCGCGTACCGACATCTCCGCACCGAAATGTCAGGTTCCCCATTCCATCGAACGCATTTTTCACCGCCGTAACTATCAGTAATTCTACAATTCAACAAAGAAATGTCTTCTAAAATCTTTGCAAGGTTCATTCTATATCCGTTGGATATTCAGACTCGTTGGACATTCAGGCTCGTTGGACATTCCGTCTCGGTTGGATCTTTCGTCTCGTTGGACATTCAGGCACGTTGGACATTCCGTCTCGATTGGACCTTTCGTCTCGTTGGACATTCAGACTCGATGGACATTTCGTCTCGATTGGATCTTTCGTCTCGTTGTACATTCCGTCTCGCCTGTCACGTGACCGATTGGACATTCAGGCTCGTTGGACATTCAGTCTCGTTGGACATTCAGGCCATACGCGTACAGCAGTGGATCAATCTAGATACTGCAGGCAGAAATGTCTGAGATAAGGAAACTAAATTTATCCCGACTGCTAGCAGTCACAACATGTTCTGGGTGCTTCATTCTCGTGCTGTTTCGGAACGGTCATCAGAACTCTATGTTGTCATCATCGGGTGACAACATCACTCCTAGCATAATGCATAGACACATTGAGGACATCGCAACGTCCCATAAACGTCCCGTGGACGTCTGCAAAACATCGCAATGCCTTATAAATGTCTCGTGAACGTCCTTGGATCGTTGGAATATCACATAGTTGTCCCATGGACGTCCTTAGGTCGTTGCAATGGCCTATGAATGTCCCGTGAGGTCATCAAGACGCTAACATGTATTATAAAATGCTCCTTGGACGTCCTCAGGACGTCGCAATGTCTTACGATTATGCATTCGACGTCCATAAGACGGTCTGTTACATACGACAGAGACAGAATAAGAAAGGGTCTTATTTCCGTCAAAGTTATATCTGTGACTCAACGCTAACTGATGCGTTTACTCTGCGTGCGGTTAAAGAATATCCCCAATGCTGGATCAGAAACGTCTCGCATTTTCAAATGGATGCTGAGATCGTGTATTAATAAAAACTCTAAAGATAAAAAAAATCTGAAATTACATTCGATGGGTGACCGATTTCCCTATTAAAAGTATAATCGAAGATCGCGACACGGCCCTCTTTCTGCGCCTTGGAGCAGCCACCCTGGGGACGCCGTCGCGCACTCTAAAAAATGCCTGCGCGTCTAGTTACCCGCAAAACACTCAAATAACCAATCTCTGCAATCTACGAAATCAGCTCAGCGAATGATGAGGCGGAACATCTGTTTAGACCCCAAGAGTAAGTCTGCGCTGTGGCATAAATTACGCAATGCAAGTCATCATGCTTGCATTGCGTAATGCGACAGCGCAGACTTACTATTGAGGTCTAAACAGATGTTCCGCCTCATCATTCGCTGAGCTGATTTCGTAGATTGCAGAGATTGGTTCTTTGAGTGTTTTGCGGGTAAGTAGACGCGCAGGCATTTTTTAGTGAGTACGTCGTTTTCAACCAATAATTGCTGTATTGCGACTCCTACGCCCAAAGATGTGACGTTCTTGTGAATATAATGCACAACGTGCCTAGAAAGAGCAATAGTAGTAACGTTCAGAATCTCCACTTAATTATAACTATTTTCATTGGTCAAATTTTTTGGAAGTGGTGAAGACCCGAGGATGCCCCCGTCAAAAGAAATTAGTGTCCGTTTATTTCTACTGCTGTGACTTTACTAGGAGGTCTTGCCCTCTAGAACTGGCCATTTTTATTGATGAAAGCCCAACGAGCAATACGCCATCAAAAACAAGCTTCTACAAAAAGCACTGGAGTGCCTCTTTAAATGTATACAGTAAAGAAAAAATATGGCTCTGCTGAAAGGCGTGGTAGAGAGTTTAAAGAAAGCTCGTGTTAGTGCCCAACGCAAAGTTATATAAGAGCGCATTAAAGGACTGTGCTTATACGAAGGAAATGCGAGCGAGTGCGGGGATCTCGCAGTATTCCCCTGTCTATAAATAGATCGAAGGCCCACGCTCGCTATACGTCGGGTGCTGGCTGCCGGAGTTCTGACTCTGCTGCGTTCCTCGGCCCAGCGTTCACAGACGAGCTGATCCGAGACCTGAGCTCGAGCTCGCTGCTGCAGCTGACCGATCCCCAGGCGCAGTTCCTGAGGCAGCGCCTGGACAAGCTGTACGAGCACGTCCGCCGTCACCCCGCGCTGCACCAGCGGTACCTCTGGGTCGGCAAGGACAGGCCCAACGTCAGCCCCGATGAGACACCCGCCGCCCGCCGCCAGCAGGTAACGCCTGTAGGCACCGAGGGTTTAGCAGGGTCGTTAGGGGCCTGGAGCATCGTATCATCGCTCACTAGCCAATGAGATTACCGAATTAGCCGATAAGGACATGCAACAACCAATCACGGACCGTGAACATGACAAACCATATGCCCTGCGTTTGTTAACTTGGTCACCATAACCAGAGACATGTACCGTGTGTGCTTCTGCGAAAACTTGAAAAAGCTCCTAAAAGTAGGGTGGTTGAGAAAAACAAACTTTTCAAGAACAAACTACCAGACACGGTGGACGTCAAGTATTGCAGCAAAAAATTAAAGTCGGCACTAATTAGGTCACTAATTAACAAAACTTTACTCCTGGGCATTTTGTTAGTTAAAGTAGACATATAGCTTCAATTAGAATCCTACCACGGTCGTCACTGAAAACCACTAAATCACGTTGAAAATTACCCGCGACTGCGCCGGTAAAAGATAGGAAACTTTTTTTTTTTGTCTACTGAGTTTCCCTATTGTTTACCACAGTCTCGGGTAATTTTTGACATGATCAAAATCCAACAGCTCACCTGCAAACTCACTGTATTTAAACTAAATCGGTCAATAATAATTAAAAAAAAAAGATTTGGGGTGCGCCGATGCGCGCTAAATTTGTTACCACTTGCGGTGCGAAAATTCGGATAATAAGAAACGGAAGAAACGCACAGACGCGTCGAAGTTAAATGCCTATTCCGGAATCCAGGGAGACGAAGCATACGCCACAAATATTTCTGCAATCGGCTGATTTGGTCGTTTTCCACGATGACCATTAATTTCGTAATAGAAATCGTGATTTTCTTAATAATTAAAGTTATTTAGTAAATTTTTGTAAATCAGTAAGCTAATTCATGTGTTTTTTGCAATCGCTGCTGTCCGACATGACTGGCACGCTGTCCCCAAAAATACCTTATTTTTTGTTTTCTTAGTCATTTTTTTTTTATGAGTTTTTGAGTCTGCTGATACAGCAGACCGTTTTCCCGTGACGGTTGCCATACTAAATTCTGGCGTAGTTGGGTTCAAAGCCCCAAAATGAAGTCTCGAAAGTGCTAGGTTATAAAAAGAATATCGGACAATTATAGAACACTTAGAAGTAGTAACCTTTCGAAATCTATAGACCGTTTTCGTGTGACGGGTGCTTCGTGTGACGGGTGCCAACTACCTACATAGTTGGGTTGGGCGACGAAAGCTAAAGTCAAGAGTTTAAGCATAACTGCAATGAAAAAAAAAAAGTATAGCCAAGAGAAGAGTATAACCATTGGCACGAACCCCTTTAACTCTACCGCCTTCCATTCGCTAAATAAAAACATTTGCTATTTCTCCAAAATTCGGCTATACGTCATAATTATGGCGGCCCTCCGACGCCACGCGATCTATTGGAACCAATCAAACAGCGTCAAAAGCCAAGTCACTATGTCTTCCCCGTACATGATTGGTCCAGCAGTGATAGAGCACGCAAATGAACATGACGAACACCATGATGGCACGCTTTTGACGCTGTCTGATTGCTGCCATCAGCACGTAGCGTCGGCAGCGTCTAAACCTAATGGCTTCCAAACGACACACAAATAGCAAAATTGCTATTTGTTTTTTCCTTTACCCGGATACACATAAAGAATTGAGCATGGAGACCGTAAGAGCTAACAAGCCTGTAGGAATTTTAGAGACCGTCACGAGACGGTGCATGTGTTCATGCTTGCGATCGTCGCGTGCCAAGGAGGACCGCGGGCGGAGACGCCAAGCAAAGCTTGGAGACGCCTACAGACGATGGACACTTTCGCTTCCCCCTCGCAGCTTGTACTGAAAACGCGACCAGTAAACCAGGTGAATCCGATCAAGCACTACAGCAGCACCCTCGCCCTACCCTCATGAGTTGCAACGGACTACAGAAAAAACATTTCTTATTGCTTATGGTGTTGTTCCACGTCATTTGCTTTAACTCAGTCTGCAAAAAAAAAAAAAAAAAAAAAATACGTGACTTTTTTTTTTTACATGTTTAAGCTGGGACTAGAAGCTCCGATTTCAGCGCGTGCTCACTGGCTTCCGCAGTGCTTTGGTTGCGTGTGCCTGCGCGTTCACACTTGTCTTAGCAAAGGCAAAAAGCTCGCGCTGAAGGCGGAGCTTCTAGTCTCAGCTTAGAGGGGTCATGAAACAATATCGGGTTGAAATGTTCGTGACTTTGCAGAGGTGGGCTGGTCCTAGTCTGGCCATCGTATACTCTCGCGGACCGCCGGTGATTCAGGAACTTCTTGGTCGCGGTGAAATTGTGAAGATAAAAGGGGTCTACTTGTTTCATTCATGCCTTCGCGAAGCTTGATGACGTGATTGTGGGATCAAAATCACCCGCCCGACGACAATCGAAAGCCGATCAGTGATTGGACATGACAACTGCGTGAGCAGTCGATTTCGGCTCGTAACAATCAACGCCTTGGCGGACACTCGGGTAGTGGCTCGTGTCCAATCACTGCGGTAATGAGAATAGCCGAACTCTAACAATGCCTGGAGCTCAGCGTGCGTTTTCTACTCTGCCGACCTCAGCGCGTGGCTATAATTAACGTTGACGGCATAGAATAGGCACCATGCCACGTGGCCACTTGGCCTGGCTCCGAGTTGAGTGGATGAACGATACTCATATGTATCGATTTTTTTTGGCGACTGCCGTTGCCTAGAAAGAATAATTCATTATTAACGTCAGAGAGTGATTCTGAGAAGTATTTAGCAAAAGTAGAAAATCGTTTCATGACCCCTTGACTGGTGAACGGAGCATAATCTCTGATGTATGGCTTGAGTCAAGGTAACGGGAGTTATAGCCACCGACAAGATTGGACCGGCAGAGCATCTCTTTTGTACGCCCGGCCTCCAGCGTGCGCTCGTTGTCTAGCTTCATTAGGGCTTTGGCTGCGTTTGCAAGCTCAAGGCGCCGATGGTTTATCAAAGGTAAGTAACGCGCGCTCGAGTCGGAACAACTGAAGAGCCTCCCAGACGCTCTCATCTGGTCAGTGATTATTGCACGTAAACGTTTCTGCGCGTCCCACGACGATGCCCAAAGTTTCAGTCTCTTAACGCCTCCTGGAAACCTCATCGCAGAACCACTCCGATCTCGCCACATTTCAGGCGAAGAGAAGCAAAGCGCCCGAAGTGTCCGGACCCGCTCCACGCGGCGTGAAGAGGAACCCACCCGACATCGCCCTGGCTCCCCTGTCCGAGGAGATTTGCCGGACCAGCACGGCCTGGGAGCGGATGAACAAGACGGTCGACTCGTTCGGCAACGCCGTCGAAGTGGTACAGGACGAGGCCTTCCCCCAGTGGGTCTTCGCCTACCGTTGCGCCACTCAGGGAACGACCTGCGTGGGCATCGACGCCCTGTGAGTATAGAAGACTTTGACGCATGTGTTCTGACAATAGCGCCTAGAAGACAAGTCCTATGACTTTCCTCCTCTAAAGCCGCGTTCAGTAACGCATCATGCAGAAGAGAGTCTGCGGACATCTTTGGAGGTGTGTTTCTTCTTTGTACGACGGTCACATTCGGCCTACAAAAACTGCCTGCAGACAAGTTCGACAAGTTTGCCCGAAGCAGCAAAATGGCCGCCGACCCCTGACCTACAAGATAAAGGCCAACACGGAGCACACATTGAACACCAGTGCCGCGTCAGCGTTCGGCTGAAGCTCGTGTTCTCACTGATTGAAGACGAATCCCTCCCGAAGCTGGCGCAGCACTCGTGTCCCATCTATGATTTGTGTTGGCCTCTTGCAGGCGACGGCAATACTTTAGCACTGCGGCCTTGCTTTCTAAGACGTGTTGGGTAAACAGTCAAAACACGTCTCAGTGAATAATGCCTTTAGCCGGCTCCCATGGTTTGCTTCCAATAAGCGTAAGCAAATCTGGGAGCCGGATAAGGCTAGCGCGTAAATCACTGAGTCGTGTTTACCCGAGCCAACACCTCCTAGGTAACAAAGCCGCAGTGCTGAATGAGATGGCGTCATCGGAAAGGCAGACGCTGAACACAGATTGTAAACGAGTGGTGCATCAGCACTCGGCTTCGAGTCAAGTTTGAGCCGAACCTTGAGGTAATCGTCGTGTCCAATCTGTGCCCAGCGTTGGCCTTGTCCGATGACGTCATTTCATTCAGCACTACGACTTTGTTATCTAGTAGGTGTAGCCTGAGCTTCACTTCTCTGCCTTCCCCCCTTCCTCTCTTTGCCCCCATAAACCGGGCGATGCGACGTCCATGAAAGCGGCCCAATTAGAGTGCCGAAATCAGCCCTTACGCCTCAATCCACAAGCTTTTCCTTTCCGAATATCTTTCCCGGGCTCAGTAACTATTGCTCCATGCTCTTCCCGTAGCTAGGTCAGTCATTTACTCCCCGAATGCTCTGAGAAAAGATGGACCCAACGGAGCTTTCGAGTGGCGAGGATTCTATTTAGTTTCGAGAGTACGTGATGGTATTAATCCCCTGCCTTTCCCCGTTCCCCTTTCCCCTTTGTGTCTCCTTCATGCGCACACACAGGTATGACAGTGAGTGCACGGAACGACCCGGTTTCATGATTCTGTACCATCGGAAGATCGGCACCGACGACAACACGCCGTCCTGGGGAGCGGTCGAAGTGCCGCATCACTGCACCTGCAAGATCACCCCCAAGGTCCTTCCTGAAGCCAGATGAACTCCGAGCTGAATATCTTCCACCCGGTACGCATGTTTGTTTTCTTGTTGAATATTACCAGCGACCTACTCTACAGAGACTTCGGAACTACTCGGAAAAAGGGGGGGGGGGGGGGGGGGGGGGAAAGCAAGATTTTTTTGCCCCTCCCCATATTGTTTACATGACATTTATCTACATGTATAAGGAGGGGGGAGGGGGGGGGGGGCATTCCTCTTCCTTCCCTTTGCCGCCCCTGCACCGACGCCAACCAACCTTTATCTCCAAAGTGGGTCATTCCATGCCACAGGAGACGCGGAAAATTTTTTTCTTGACTGGGTCTGTACAGAAAAATTAATTTAGATAACGAAGCCTCTAAACTTCACGAAAATTATTTTTCGTGATAAAATAAATGTTATTTTTGCGGGTATCATGCTCTAAATTCCTCAAATTTGCATCAAATTCCTAAAAAAAAGAAAAAAACAATTTTGTTACCACTCCAATTTAGGTGGGCAGCTAATAACTTAATAATATGCCTTCCCTTACTTTCAAATACAAATATTAAAAGACACTTTTTTTAGTCTTACTAACCACCCTCCCCCCCCCCCCCCCCCCAAAAAAAAAAAAAAAAAAAAAAAAAGACGTTATGAGATTTTTTTTTTGTCAATTTGGATTTGGGGTTAGCTAAAATACTTTTTTGCTTTGTTCTCATAAGGCTAATAATAGATTTGCTTGTATTAGATTTTCGGAGCCTCGTTTTATTGCGGTTTAGTTATATGACAAATCTTCAGTTTATGCAGAAACAGCCATATTGAAGGACATACTAAACAATGTGGGCAGCAGTGCCCGGAACTTTCGAAATAGCCAAAAGTTCAATTACCCTCATCTATTCAGCATTAAAAAAAATAATAAACAAGTTATTTTTGTTATTGCTGATAAAGATTTTTTCTTTTTTGTAAAGATGAGCTACTCCGACCATGACTCCAGGCGCCCGCCTTGTAGGTGACACACGCCGGCGTTCGCCAGCGAGGCGTCGTGACTCCGTGTGAGATGCCGCCGCAGGTCTCCAACGCTCTCCTGAAAAGCTAAAACAGGTTTTATTTAGTTGAAGTGGGCGGTATCCTGACTTCCATGCATCCGTATTCTCTTTGCGTTACCTAATGATACTGCCGTCTTAATTTTACTCTACTTCTGCCCAGGTAGCTGCGAAAGAACGCGGGCCTGCATCGTCTGCTTCCCGAGTTTGGGAATGCGTACTGCGCGTCGGCCTCGTCTGTCGTATGTCCAGACATGAAAACAATTCAGACCGGATAGCTCTTCACCAATGCGAAATGATGACGGTGATGTCGCTTTCCTATTGAACTTAAATGTATGTCGATAGAATATGTAGAGCTACCAAAAACAGTGTATTGATAAAAAAATAAATAAAAGCATTTCACTTTTTACGGCGGACACCTCACACGTCTGAGGTTCCGTTCTGGGGCAGTTTTTTGACTCCGCAGTACAATGGGAGGCCAGCAGGGCATGTCTAGAATTCTGAAATCACTAGCATCTTTAGAGAAAGTGTTTGATAAGAGGTGGGAGTTACACGGGTGCCGTCTTCGCCATCTAAGTGTCAGACTCGGCGGACATTAGATGAGGTAATAACCTTCATAGTAAGCCGGTTTATGAAACAAATTGTTGAATGCTTTTTTAATTAATAGTTTAAATGCTCATGTTGCAATTGCAGTATTGACGCCAACTACTCTCAGAGGCCTGACCAATTGGCATAATTTGAAGAACGGGTAATAGTTTCTTAGATGCTATATATTGATAGTTTTCGCGTTTTTACTTCCAATTTCAGTATTGCTCGCTAAAAAAATTGCCACAAGCCCTGCCCACAATGAAGCTTAAACGAGTGTCGTAGTCATTTTCATGACGTCGTCACTATCTCGACAGCGCGTCCTTGGTGAATGCGGCAACGAACTTCGATATATCTTAGTTCTATCAAAATGCATTTATGCTCAATGAGGTAGTGACGTCACCGTTATCATTTTTCACCGGTGAAGAGCTATCCGATCTGAATAGACCTTTCGCTAAATTTCCCAAGCATCAAAGAGAACGTGGGGGACCATAGGTGCACGCGCTGCACGTGCTCACCTTCCATATGGAAAAGATTATAAGTAAAGAACCAAAATAAAGCGTCCATGGAACGCGCGTGCGAAGTTTCTTTTGTTTGAGATTTTTGCTTTCGAAAAGTTAGAGCTAGAGCCACTAAGTGAGCTACGCTTAGAGTATCGGCACTCTGTTCCCCGATTTGGTTGTGGGCGCCGCCATCTTGGTGCTTAGTACAGAACAGACGCAACATGCCGATTGTTATTATTAAAATGTGCGACGTACTCAGCATTAGGTTCGGTGCTAGGCAGCTCGTGTAATATTTCTTTGCTCTGCCGCGAACTGTTCAAACATTTGTGGAGGACGAAAAAGCGTTTCATATGATTTGAGATAAGCTTCAAATAGCTGGCAACCACGAATTTAAGTTACAAGATGGGTAAGTGTCGTATACTCTGAAGCGTATACCTTATTTAGTGGCACTAGTCAGAGCTGAAAACGTATCTACGTTTCCGTTTTTTTTTTGTTTTTTGGATGTTTTGGTTAATTCGGCAAAACGTCAATTGTTTTTATATCTAAACATACGACAGACCATGCCGACGCGCAGTACGGATTCCCAAGCTCAGGAAGCAGGCGATGCGGGCCTACGTTCGTCGGCAGTTACCTGGGCAGAAGTAGAGTAAAATTACGACGGCCAGTATCATTATGTAACGTAAAGAAGATACGGATGCATGCAAGTCAGGATAACGTCCCCTTAAACTGAATAAGACGTGTTTTCAGGAGAGCGTTGGAGACCTTGCGGCGGCGCCTCACACCGTTGACGCCTCGCTGGCGAACGCCGGGGCGCGTCACCTACGAGGCGAGCGACTGGATGCATGATCGGAGAAGCTCCTCTTTAAAAGAAATCATTCGTCAGCAAGAAGAAAAAGTACTTTTCTAATTTTATTATATCTTGAATAGATGAGGTGAATTAAACTTTTGGCTGTTTCGAAAGTTCTGGGCACCACTACCCACATGACTTTAATGGCTCTCGGTAGGGCCGTTTGTGCATAAACTGGAGATATTTTATTTAATTAAAACACAACCAGAACGAGACTTTTACAATTTAATACGAGCAATTCAATTTTTCTTCTTAAGAAAACAAAGGAAGCAACTATAGTAGTTAACTCCCAAATTCAAGTTGACTGGAAAAAAACTAAGAAATCTCACAAAGTTTCTTCTCTTTGGGGCTCGTATTAGGACTCAAAATGGCGTCTTAGCGGAGAGATTGACGTGACCTGAGGTGATGGCGTCAAGAGACACCACGCCTTGACAACGTGATGTCAGGTCACGTGGCGTAACGACACGGTTTCGTCGAAGTGTCAGCTGACGTCATGACGACACGTGACCTCACATTTCGTGGCCATGCGATGCCATCATATCACGTGACGTTAATTTCCCTTTAAAATTTAGCGAGGAAATGAACGGACGGGCGAACGGACAAATTTCTGAGATGGGGGGTTACGATTTAAAAATTCACCACTAAAACGGGCTTCCCTCCTACGCCACTCAACAAAAAGAGGAAATCATTGAATCAGTGGTCACCAAGGCCACGATCCAGTGCATGACTATATAGAGTGCAACGAGTGTTTTCAGACCA